GTGCCCTCCCCGTTCCGCCGCCTATGATATGGTTGGCTGCGTCAATTGCTGTTTCTGAAGACGCTGTTATACCTAACTATGCAGAAAAACAGAGTAGGATTATTAGTCGCGAGCACTTCCGATTGCCTCAGACATCGCTCCACGAGCTGTGTTCGTTATCCGGGAAGCGTTGAGAAGGGAGCAGAAATGTGATGTGCGATTTATTGCGCATGGTAGAAATGTGACATCAGAATAAGGGAAACAAGCGCATAGGCTAGTAAAGAAATCGCGTCTTTTTGTGAAACTAAGGTAACATTTCAAAATTCAAGCTCTCCAATAGTGAGGCAGTAGGGTAGGTATAACTTGCTTGCAGGTATTTTAATTATTTGCAGTTCAACACGAAAGCCTGGGGTCAAGTCAGTCCGGTGACCTCAATCTAGCCAATTATAAAATGGGCTAGTTCTGAAGGTGTTCAATCACATGAATCCATCTCAAGCATACGCATAAGCATAATAGGTATATTTCATATTTCAACCACACTTCTTAAATGCTACGGTGTAACTGTTTACAATGTCTTGCAAATTTGACGTAGGCTGACCGACGTCTTGCATCAGTTCACAGTCAATTGACATCAACGGCCTTTTTTAATGACGTTCAATCAAGCAAAAATGCAGTCACTAGCCCTGAACTTAGTTTTAAAGTAGATATACCTATCTTTATTGATTGACAAGGTGCAGGTTAATCTGCGATAAATGCAATACCGAAGGCTAGTGCGCTAATAACGAGCGCTAGTTTCTGCTGTATCGTTATTACTGCAACGGGGGCATTCCACGTCAAATCGAACAAAAATCGGCTGTTTTGCACCTTACCACCAGCGATTTCATTATAAATTTGTGAGCGAGTTCCTGTGTCGCCCCGAACATTACATTGATGTTTTTTGCACATTCTGACCACAGGTCTTCTAAATATAGGGCATCGAATTTTTACAAAATGTTGCATCTTTATATTTTTGAACGACCATAACTTTGGTTGTACTTGTTTGATTTGAATGAAATAAACCTTACTGTTTAGGTAATTTCTTAAGCATTTGTTTAGAATTGCACCTACTTAAATATATGACCTTGAAATTTGCTTAACTCTGTTCTTAAGCACAAAAATTGAAATAGCAAAAAACACGTCACCTTCGATTTGGCTAATTTTCATATATTTTATTGCCTACCATATTCTTAACAACCTGTGAAAAAATTAGAGTGGGCCATTCATAAGTTTTGAAGAAAATGGCACATATGCAAACGTATGTTAGCACGCGCAGTGGAGGGGGAAGAGTGAATTTCGCCCCACCCCTCCTGTTTTTCGCCAATATCTCATAGTATTAATGCGAAATTAATTATAGCTACCTGCCCAAAATTGAATTGCACATCTCATCGTGCAAGCAAGAAGAAAATCGGTTCACAACTGGTCTAGTAATAGCGGTGTAAAGTGAACGTACTGTCGCCGCGGCGACGCGGCGACTCGGCAGCCGGCGCCGACCACTAGCCGCCGCCTGAATTGTACAGGGTGTCCCATAAGTTCGTTCTCACCTTTTATTTGCATGTAAAACATAGTACATTGCGTTTTGATATGTTTATAACCCCTCAATGTGCTCCCCATTTCATAGGCAAACACGTGATGACATGCTGCGACATGCCAACCGGCATGTTTGGCAGCATAGCAGGCTTGAAGTTAGCCCAGACTGACTTGGCATGCGCCGTGAGCTCCTCAATGCTGGAACACCGCTTCGCTTCGACGAGCCTCGATTTCAATATTCCCAACACATTTTTATGAAATTTGGATCCGATGAGTTGCCTGGGATGTGATCTTGCCACACACGCCTATCACAGTCTCCTGGCACTGCTTTTATGCTTTGCTTGACCTCTGCACTGATGCACTGTCTTGCTTGAAGATGGGCCTACGACCTCCCGGATGCCATTTTCTTCTAAAAAAATGTGGTCATACTTGCGGTTCGAGTTAAGCTAGAAAGCTGAAACTCCTCCTATATCTTCTTGGAGAAGCATTCTGCGTCCCAAGACTGTTTCTGGAGCATCAATCGCAACGTGATCAGTGTCTGGACGCATATTACTCCACATTACCGTGACCCTGGCCTTATGCATAGGAATAAAACTGGATGACACAAAGGCCTTTTCCGTTGCCCATATGGGACCGTTTTGGGGTTTGGACGGGTGTTTTATCTCGAGCACGGACTAGGTAGTCCAGATGACCACATTGATGTTATCGGCCCTCCAGTTTTTTTAGCCTCAGGCATAACGAAACACATGTTTGGCCATTTTAAGACGTTTTTGACTGTTTTGAGCCCTCCAGTAAGTAGAGCTTAAGTGACCTTGAGTTAGGTACCCCGAAATGATACTCTTAGACAGCTGGTAATGCATCCTGAAAAGCCTGTTTACCAACTTTCTAACGCTAAGACCTTTTTGACGGCCATTTTGGCGCCACACAGTTTTGGCCACATGGCCCACTCGTGAAAGCTGACAAAAAAGAGCATAAACTTGCAGCGATTGACTCCCGACAAATCATCGGCGTCACTTGTTGACTGTGCGTCCAGTTAGCGACAGACATTGGCTACATACTGGATGGCCTCAATCACCCTCAACCGTCGTGAATGGCCCAGTGCGGTCTAAATACCGAGACGTTCCCGTATCAGAGACCTCTATGTTGCGGCGTAAGCCGTCTCCAAAGGAAGTGAACTCTCTGGCAAAAAATATTTTGTCTAGACGAATTATTTACCGTGGAGCACATTCACAGTTGCCATGGCAACCCCAAAAGCTCAGTTACAAAATAAATTAAGCGTGGCTTTAAATAAGAGAGCCTCTAAAAGAAAAATTTAGGTTAGAAGGAACTTATGGGACACCCTGTAGACTGTGCCGGGACGAAACGGAACGGTTCCGTCTTTACATCGCGCTCCTTACCGCTGATTACGTTCGATTCGCGTCAAATTTTGTGAGAAGACTAAGAAATGTACAGGCAATCTTATGGGGTAAGAATTTTGAAAATCGGTTGGTAAACAATTGAAATATGAACGTGTAAACACAAAACTGTGATTGCTGCGTTTCCCGCGTCGGCCGATCCCGCCTTAGCCGGCGACATGTTACTCTTAGCAGGTCTCTAACTGCCATATTTATTATTGGATTAACTAGAAATTCCCCATACATACTCAAAAATGTATATTCTTTCGTATAGTGAAGATAAAAAGACGTGAAGATATCGTTGCGTGATAATGTTTTCGTTGAATTTTTGGCTTCATGATGCATTTCCACACGGCTCAAAATTCGCCGCAAAATACCGTTTGCCTGAGACACTTTTACTATGGAACTTGAATGCTTGACTACGATGACTATGTATTTCCATTCTCGCAGAGTTTGGGATATCACTAATCAGCAATCATTCATTTCAGAAAGTGTACACAAGCAAGCATGTCTTGACTCTGTCTTTCAAGGTCACGTGCGGTTGCGTGATGTTGATGCATGAAAACGGCGTTTGCCGCGAGAGTTATGAATGGCCCACCCCAATGTTTTCACAGATGGTTAGGAACATTGTGACGGACATAATATGTAAAAATTACCCGAATCGAAGGTGACGTGTTTTTTTGCTATTTAAATTTTTCTGTTTTAATTCAAGGTCAAATGCATTTCAAGGTCACTTCAATTTAATTTTATAATTAAAAATCAAAGCCTCATCAATTGCCTACAAGACCCTGTTAATATCATTTTTATACCAGAAAAGGAACCAGAGTTATAGACATTTAAAAAATTGATGTGTGGCATTTTTGGCTATATTCGATGACCTATATCTCAGCGATACTTTATCAAATTTCGAAAATATTATACGTAACTCAGTTTTGAACCATGCCCAGTCTGCCTACAAATTTTCAGAAAAATCGAAGGTGATGACGGATTTCGGTGTTTGATTTGACGTGGAATGCCCCAACGGCAACCGCAAGGCAGCCACGTCCAATGCGAGCCGCCCCGGTCCGGCATACGGCCTTGGGTTCGGCAATCGGCAGCTACTGCCCCGTCGGCTCCACGCATCCGACTGACCGGCCAAGGTCACCGCTCCGTCCGCCGGGAGGGCGGAGCTTAATGGTCACGTGTTTGTGACGTCACGCGTAAGCACGGATAGCCTCTACTCCACTGACGGATTTACGGAGCCGATTTTAACATTACGAGGCAACGACAAGTACCCTTAAATTTAATATTTTGTTAAGAGACCATATTGACGAAAATTGGCGCTTGAGCTGAAATGTGCACTGTGAAAATTTGAAACCAATTGGACAAATATTAAATGAATTATCGCCAAAAAACAGGGTCTCATGGGGTCTGAAATGCATAGTAGTACCTAGGTACTTTGTTAAATGTTTCCTCAAATCGTCAACTTGATGAATCGATGGAAATAACTAATATCTCAGGAGGCACACTGCTGAGTGCTGATACCAATACATACTGTTACTGATTAGGCGCCTCTTTCGGGAACTGTTGGTCACAGTGTATATAAGTACTGTTGGTGATGCCGATGAATAGAGGTCGCCTTGATCGGCGCTGACCGTCTGGTTCAGTCAGTGCTGCCGAGAGACGGCGTCTGCGGGTTCTGATTGGTCGCCTCCGGCGGTCAGCTGACCGACGGCCGGGGGCGAGCGGCGGCCCGAAGGTTCGGGAGTCGGGTTTTCTATAGCTTTGGTCGGGTTGGAGTTTTGGTGTGTGTTGATGGCGGCGGTGTGCCGTGGTTACTGGTTTTGATGGCGGCGGTGTGCCGTGTTTTCTGTGCCGTGGTTACTGGTCTGATGGCGGCGGTGTGCCGTGTTTTCTGTGCCGTGGTTCAAGTTATAAACGGCCTACAAGAATGAGCTGAGATTTTTGATGCTGAGTTCCGTGACACATACGTTATATACTATATACCGCGGACACATGCAGTGCAAATGGTAGCAGACAGCAGTAGTTTCCCCTTAAAGTGGTGGTTTTTCTACCACGGACGCTCGTCGAGGTCGGAATTTCCAAATACGCCTCGGGCCGCATCCCGATCGGCGGTAGCTTGGTGGTAACGAAGATGTCGCTTCTCTTGACCTTGCCGGTGGCGATGGCGGCCTTGATGCCGCGTCCTACGTCGGCCTCGTTGGCGTAGAAGTAGGCGGTGTCGATGTGCCTATATCCGGCCAGCAGGGCGGTCTCCACGGCCACGGCCACGTCCTTTCCGTCGTCGGCCTGCCAGCAGCCGAGACCGAGCAGCGGCATCTGCATGCCGTTGCTGAGCTGTACGGAGGGAGTCATGCTGCCTCGAACCGGCGGGGACACGATCGTAACGCTCACAATAGTCTCCGTCCGGTCCGGGACGTTTAATCGCTCAACGCGTCTCTCTCGGACAGCTCACGAAGCCGCACCACATGGCCCAGTATATAAACAGTACAGAGATGATGAGATCCGAGCGGGCCGGCCGGACCGGGTCTTGTGCTCCAAAACTGCGCGGCTCCGCACCATCTGTCTGTGATAGTTCGCACGCTGAAAGTGTGTGTGACGCAATGGTGTCCCTAATATAAACACAATGCGAACGATCTGACGGACGCCGGTGAAAACAGGGCGCCGGAGGGCATATTAGTCACGTGACATTTGGAGCTTCTCCCCCTCCGTGGGTCTTCTATGTACTAAACGTCACGTGTGAATTTCACGAACCTTGATGACATCGCCCCAGGCGCCCTGTTTTCACCGTCGTCCGATCTGACTTGGCGCTTGTGACCTGGTGGGCTAAGTGGGTTCAGGGTTGTTGTTCGAGATGAATGACACAAGAGTCGGGATGAGTCGGGACTCGGGAGAGTGGGAGGTTGCAAGGAAACATGAACCCGGTTTACATAGGGTTTGTTGCAAGCTTATATCTCCGTCCGTGATGTTGCAAAAGATGCCAATGGTGCTTAACAATTTACAAAATGATCCCCTCTAAATATTTGAAGACCACTGCAACGAAATTATCGCCAAATTAACGAGCTAGAGCCTCGTCAAATATGCTATGTAAACCGGGTTATGGTCGCCACTTTTTGGTCAGGGTATTTAAAGGGAGTAGTTTACCTACTTTCCCGAACTGTTTTTTTTGCAATGGTTTTATGATTTTGTACGCTCAAAATGATCAGTTAAGAAAATAAAACCTTATTTATAAAAAAAAATTATGTTCTACCTATATTTTAAGATATGAAGAACTATATTATATATAAAATATTGTTTGACGCGGAAGCTCATTACGCGTTGACCAATCATATTGTGTAGGACAACTGATTGGCTGGCAATGACGTGGCTGCATTCCTCAGCAAGGCATGCATTCCTCTGCAAGGCACTCTTTTCGTTACGAGAAATGGAATATCCACGGAATATCTTCGTCTAGGGTGATCTTTGGGCCGCAGAAGTTTCTGATTTGTGCTAGTCTCAGCTCACTCTACGAAACTGCTAGTTCAGTTCAAAACCCTATGGTAAAAGTGAACCTATAGGTATTTCCTCTAATACAAATCCTAACTTTCCCTTAAATGAAAAACAGCTTCAAAGTATTTAGATTAAAAAATATGAGCAAATTTGTTTTTGTCTTGGTTAGGTACCTATTCCTAATAACTTCAAAAGTGACTGACGATCTGTCATCTGGGGCTCTCATCTTCTCTGTAGTTCCTGATAACCGCATGAATATAACTACCTATTTTCACAACATTCATGCATCTTCCTAGGTTCTTCAGAACATCTGGTTTCATCACGTCTAACTCAAGTCCACATAAAAAACCGATTTCGGTCCCCCGAGGTTCGTCACCGTTCTCCCTGTTTAAGTAGGTATTCGGCTACACGTATAATGGTCACAGCATCCGTCAAATGATGACACGTCTGTATTTTCCGTTTGATTGACTTCACTTATGCTCTGTGGTACCGGGGCTGGGTGGGTGATTGTGCACAGAGCACACTTCGCCGGGCAGTTTACAGTCGCACTTTTTAATTTATCAAATATACGATATTATCATTTACTGCGAGGCCGGCACCAACATAATTTACACGTCTCCAACCGAACTATGTGAAGGTCAGTAAGATGCAAATAGCATGTCATGTCCACCGTGCAATACTTTCTCTCAGTTCCCACATAGGGTCGAAAGTGCAACTTGCAAGCCTTCTGTAGTGGACACTGTCTACTATCCAGTAAGGCACAGAAACTGCATCGTCATCACACCATGCACCCGACACCGTCACGTGAGAATGGTTCGAACATAGCCTTGGTTCGAACCGACTCCTGGCGAACCTTCCCATGACAAGGCAAGTCTGAGCTGGAGGTCAGTCGATACGGACCGAAGAGCAGTCAGCTATCACACTATCTCACTATCGGCGCGGCCGCGGCGCGGCGAGCGTATATCAGCGGACGGCAGGTGCCTCTCACCGCCCGCCGACCGCAGACCCAGAGTGACGCCGCTCCCGCGCGCCGCCGGAGACAGGAGCCAAGCGAGCGTCCAAACTTCTCAGACGCGGAGACCCGTGTGAGCATCGCGATCGTGTCCCCACCAGTTCGAGGCAGCATGGCTCCCTCCGTGCAGCTCAGCAACGGCATGCAGATGCCGCTGCTAGGTCTCGGCTGCTGGCAGGCCGACGACGGAAAGGACGTGGCCGTGGCCGTGGAGGCCGCCCTGCTGGCCGGATATAGGCACATCGACACCGCCTACTTCTACGCCAACGAGGCCGACGTAGGACGCGGCATCAAGGCTGCCATCGCCACCGGCAAGGTCAAGAGAAGCGACATCTTCGTCACCACCAAGCTGCCGCCGATCGGGATGCGGCCCGAGAGGGTGGAAAAGTACCTGAGGAAGTCGCTGAAGGCGCTGGACTTGGACTATATCGACCTCTACCTGGTGCACCACCCGGTGGGCTTTGAGGAGGTGGACGAAAACGACAACATGCCGCTGGAGAATCCCGGCACCGACAAGGAAAAGGTGAAATTCGACTTTTCAACCGACCTCATCGCCATCTGGAAGAAGATGGAGAACATGGTGGAACTCGGTCTGGCCAAGACGATCGGCATCTCCAACTTCAACCCGAGGCAGATGAGGAAGATCATGGCCATCGCTAAGATTCCTCCGACGGTCAACCAGGTTGAGTGTCACGTCTACTTCCAGCAGAAGGAGCTTCGTGAGGCCTGTAAGCAGCACAACATCGCCGTCACCGCCTACGGCCCGCTCGGATCGCCCGGGCGGAAGCTCTTCTACGAGAAACAAGGCAAGACGATCGAGCTGCCGGACCTCCTGCGGAACCCGGTGGTGCGTCTGGTGTCCGACAAACACAAACGGTCGGCGGCCCAGGTGCTGCTCCGGTTCATCACGCAGGAGGGCATCATTGTCATTCCCAAGTCCACAAACGAGAGTCGCATCAAGCAGAACGGCGACATCTTCAGCTTTGAGCTGGACGAAGTAGATAGGCAGGCGCTCCGTTCGCTTGATCAGGGAGTGGCAGGTACCATTTTCAAATTCGCCGAGATTTTTCCAGGGTACGAGGAGCACCCCGAGTGTTTCTTTTGAACTGGCTGGTGCTGGCTATGGTTTTACCTAACCATTCTGTGTCGGTGTGCTCGATGTTAAAGTAGCACCGTGTCTAGATGTCTGTCTGTGCATTTTTGACTAGGCAGGCATTTCCGTGTGCGTGACTTTAAACGGAAATGTTGTTTAGTGTGCGATATATGCGCTTGAGAATGGTTGAATGAGATCAGAATGTTTTTATCAAATACAATGGTATCAATTTGTTTTGCTCAGCTCGATGTTTGAATATCAGCCCGAAGCGATACAACGACTAAACGACAGCGAACACTTCGCGGCACAATACGAGGAACGACAATATCTTATCATTACATCATTACGAATTACGAATAATCTTCCAAATCCTATCACTGCACTAAACTCCGTGACGCTAACAAATTTCAAACATAGCTCGGGACAATCATTTGACACGTGTCCAACCAGTTTTGAGTTCCAATGACTCAGATCAGGTCTAGAGGTCACATGAACTTCGGTAGGTACATGGTCAAAATAACTCTGAAATTAAACCATTTTTCAATGAGATCTCGAGTTGTTCATCCATATAATTCCAACTTACAGGATATGCTAAACTCACCGAGTGGCATGACATGCATCCCGGTGTTTTAACCCGGCAGGCGGGTGGGCCTCCCGGCTGCACACCTTCCGCGCGATGGGGGGGGGGACATTTTTTGCCCCCCCCCCCCGTATCTCCGAAACTACTGGACGGATCCGTAAAATTCAAACGATGTTCGATAACCCTGACAAATTTGTAGAGGGAAACCAAATTTCATTGACCTCGGGGTCACCGATGACATCACAGGTCAGGTCAAAGATAAAATGTTTCACAGTTCACGGGTCTTCTAGGGAATGCGCTATAACATCGAGTAAAACGCATTTCGTCGAAAATCAGCGAAAGGGCGTCAGTTGCCTAGTACATAGGTTGCTATTAGAGGTCGCTGATAATACCAGGTCAAGTCACAGGTCAGGTCACCAGGGGTCAGCACATGAACCCAACTTTGCTAGGGTTATGCGATGCATGTTTTATGGCCAATTTTTCATTTCCAACTCAATAGTGTTGGCTATAAGACCATCAGAAGGTACTGTTATAAGACCATCAGGTACTGGTGAAGGTCAGGTCAAGCCCAAGGTCAGGTAAAAAAAAGGTCAAATTTCAAAGTTGATAGTTTTGCATAAAATGGGTATTGATTCGATGCAGCTCGTCACGGGGAGTCTAATGTTGGTCTTTTTTTGCGCTGCGTGGTCTAGAATGGCTAAAAATGGAGTTTGAAAATTTGACGTCATCAATTTCGAACAGTTTTTTCGCTATAACTTGGCCAAAAAAAGAGGTATCGATCTCAAATCTGGTATGTGGATAGAAGGCAATAGGGCCCATCACATACATTCCGTTTTTTGAAATTTAAAAAAGTTTTTTTTGGATTTCTCGGCTATTATATTCAAAAATTATATTTTTTATTTTTGGGGGTCAAAATCAAAAAATGTCAAATATCCGAGATAGCAGTTTTATAGCCCTGTTGATTTAGACCTTTTATGTCTAAAACATTTTTTCTTTATCTTTAAAGCTGTAGGCCTGACAGCTCTTCCCGCGAAACCGAGGAAAGGGCCTCAGTCGTCACAGCCCGGCCGTCCGTCCCGCCGGGCGCCGCGCCGTGCAGGTCCCCAGCAGAGGCTCCTCCAGGGAGCGCAGGCGGGTGTGGGCCTCGGCGGGCTCGCGAGACACTGCCCAAGAGGCTCCCGCCGCGCCAAGGACAGCTGAGCGATGTCTATAGAATAGGATACTGAGCCGCATGCAGACCCAAGATCGTTTATATGACCAAAATCGTTCATATGCGCATTAGACTAAGAGCTTTTCAATATGAGCCAGCGCAGTGTGGATTCCATCAAATAATATGGGCTTGTGACGGATGGGATTCGTAAACTCGTTTAACTGTGTTTACATTCTGGCGTAGGCACTCGTATTAAGTTCCAAGAGACTGGCTTTTTTCTTTCATCGGAAAAATGAGCTTCATAAAGTAACTAGGTTTGAAAGTAAAACGTAAACAATGACCAATGAACAATGAACAATAAAAACGTGAACAATGACCGTTAAAAAATGCTATTTACAGGGTGTATACGGGTAAAATTGAATAAGTGGATGGTTTACTTGTCATGTGTGAATTTGTTACGAGACTTTTAGGAATAGAGGAGGGACCATTGTGTGCTACGGGTGTTCGGTTTTTAAATTTTATTACAGATACGCAACTAACAACAGGCTGGAGACCACTCCGCCAACCCTATCACTCGTTGACAGTGACATTATCCTCCCCGTCCCACGTCAGACTGATAGAGACCGACTCGGCGGGTGACCTGTGCACTGTGCAGTGGTTAATTCTGCCGGGTATAGCGGCGGCTCCGCTGATAGCCGCTATCTGGGCGGGCTGGGCCGGGCCGGGGCGGGGAGACGGGCGAGGTCGGTCAAATCGGACTGCTCTGACACGGCCTATCTGCCAGCGGAGGGACGGCAGGCGGTGTCCTATCTGCCCGCACGGACCGCGCCCAGTGGAGGGGCGAGAGTGTCTGATGGTGTATGTACGCCGTGTCCCGTGACAGGTGGAAGGTGGCCCGTGATTGGTGTTGGTGGCCGTTTTGGTGACAGTGCTTTGGACCGACCAAACTTGTTTGGTGACCTCAGAGGGCAGTCAGTGGATGACTGTTACAGACGGTTCGTGCTATATCTGCCCCATATCAGAAGCGTGTCTATTCCGACGACCGCCTTCGATTCTGCCGGCGCTGGTGGCCGCAGTCCCAGTTTTGGTGGCCTTCCAGCGCTGGTCCTCGACCAACACACGAACCAGTGCGCCTCGTCTGGCGACTCCTCGTTCAAGGCTGTCTGCATAGCTCAGCGCTGGTCCTCGACCAATACACGAACCAGTGCGGCTGATCTCCGTTCGGCGGTTCGTCGCTCAAGGCTGAGCTGCACACGGCTTTCCGCATAACTCGGCTGCAGCCACGCCTGCGTGTAAACAGACTTGTTAAAGATCAACGAGTGCAGCTGGGCTTCTGCAGCGGCCAACGAGAACCTAATATCTTCAGCACGAACACCCTCACCGGGCCCCGATTTCCGTTTGGAATCCAACTATTGTAAACATCTGCTAATGAACGTTAGGATGATCGGATGGCTCTGACGGAGCCAGGAGCCAACAGGGGAGGAGGCGCTTGACATGAGTAGGTATAGCATTAGCCCGCTTCCCGGATATTGAACGTTTGTTAAAGAAAACACACTTAGGTGCTCACGGATTTCGCAAACTTGTCTACCCGTAAAGGCTTGGTGAATAAAGTGTCTCGATGTGCAAGATTATTGCTCGCACTTGATTGAGTTTTTAATAACAAGCGTGTCTGTAATTATCCCATAGATTTATATTCTAAGGAAATGTCGCGAAGCTTTGCTAATGCACTAACCGTTTATATGAATAGTCGCTTTAAAATGGCCTAAATAATGTCGACATCTTCATTTTGCCCCAGATGAAGCAGCTGAGGCGCCCGGCGGCCGCCGGGCCAGGGGTTCTGGAGGGGACCGAGCTACCGTGCCCGATCACGGTGATCAGGGGGCGACTCAGCCCCCCTCCGAACCACAGCGCCCGGCCAGACGGAAGAGAGCAGCCCCGCCACCGCCTCAGGCGCCAGTGGAGGTCAGAGCTGGTAGCACCCGACACGGACCAACAATGGGTGGGGCTACCGGGGATTTGTAATGTTTGTTTGCAGGGATAGGCAGCGACCACTTGTCTGATATACGAACACAAACTTTGATAGCTTGTCGAAGGATTATCGGAACCTAAAGTGATATTTGCATTACGTCTGCTGTTTGAGAGCATCATTTTAAAGGCAATAGGTATGACATATGAAACAATAAATTACCATTATGATTTGGTGAAATCGTCCACGTTCTCATCACCTCGGCGGGCATCAACATTTTTTGACATTTATGATGTTCAACTCCAAAATCCCATCACAGGTTTCGAATGGCGCGGCCGGCGCGAGGTTCCGGCAGTCAGGGGAAGCATACGGAGCCGGGGAGGGCCGCCGCACGCCGGCAGAGCGGGACTGGGAGGCAGGAGGTCCTCCCCACGGGCGGCGGGTGTCCACCAGCTCCGTGGCCAGCTCTACCAGCTCCGTGACCCGCGGCACGGCTACCTCCGACAGGTATCATCACTAACGGCTGGCCGTCCAAACCATAAAGCTCTGTATACGGTTTAGAGAGGTGTAGGGCCGGACAAACCGGATATGGTCGCTGGATAAAACCGTTTATGACATTAGCCATTAGCTTCTAATCATTCGTTAGCAATTATCTGAATGCGCATCTCGTTCATCGCCTCCATTCTGCATTATGTTGCTGCCTTCTATATTGACCACGAATCAAATTGCCCCACGCCAATCCCCGTCTCCCGCCGTCCGTTCTCAGTCAGTCATTGGACAGGCGGCTGTCGACGTCGTCCTATGAGGCCGCCGAGAGGAGGACGTCACTCGAGACGGAGGGAGGGGTGTCGGATGGCACCACCGGAGGCGGACACCGGCGCCAACCAGCGGCCCCGCCGGCCCGCAAACGACGCGCCCCGGCCCCGCCCCCGGCGCGGACGGGGCGGGGCGTCAGCGCGGCCCCGCCCCCCGCCGAGGCCGACCCTGTCCCCCGGGAACAGAGACCGGAGGCTGCCGCTGCGCTCAGCCGCCGGGGGGCCGGGCTGCCCGCGGTCGGTGAGTGAGTCCAGTGGGACTCTCCGTGCTCTCGTCTTATATAACATAACATTTATGACGGCGCTTGGAAAGCAATGGCCGCGTAAATCACCTTGGTGGCCGCTCCCCATCCCAACACACAAACACATACATTATCTTTCGGCTGGGTCAGTCATTTTGGTGCCCTAAATTGTTCATCAGCATACATCGGACAAGCTCTGATAGGTATAAGGCGCTATCATGTGATCAGATCAATACAATCAAACACCAAGCGATTTTTGCCCGCTTTATCTCATATCTGATCGTCGTTTAATCGCGTCATCCATATCATTGCCAGGTCTTAGCGCGAGCACCGGCCCCAAGAGGACGATGGCGCTGCCGTCGTCTGGGGCCCCCTCCAGTCCCGGACTGTCGGAGCCGAGGACAGCCGCGGCGCCGGCCTCTCGGCCCGGCCCCGGCCGCTGGCACCCCTCTCAGTCCGCCCGGACACGGTACAGCTCACCGCCCCCGAGCACCGACCGTTTCGGGCCGCCGCCCTCCGAGTTCGACGACGACGACCTGGACATCGACACGGCGCTGTTCGCCAGAAAACGGCGGGCTCCCGCTCCGCCGGCACCGGCTCCGGTCCGGCAGCCGGAGCCGGAGCCGGAGCCGGAGCCGGAGCCGCAGCCGGAGAGAGACTCGGAGTCGGAGTCGGAGCCGCGGTCACCTCCGCCCGGCGCGCCGAGTCCGGCCCCGCGACTCTCCCTGTCCCGCAGCCAGTCCAGCGAGAGTGACTCGCGACCTCTTTCTGCTGCCGAACATCAGCCGGAACTGGGGCGGGTTAGGGAGGCGAGAGACTCGACTGAACGGTCGGCTCCGGCTGAACAGGAAAGATATACTGGAGTCGAGAAGGCAGAAAGACAGCCCCGAAACCTATCGCAGGACGGTGGATACAATAACTCGTCAAATAGTTATCGGGAGAACGGTAAAAACGGTGAAGATGAGATAAGTGTCGATGACGAGGACCCACGGCCTAAAGCTGAATATGAATCCGTGTCAGACTCTGAAGAACGGTTTGAGTCGGAAACGTCCAGCCGACTGGAGAGGTTCGAGTCAGAGTCACTCGATTCGAACTCGAGACGCCCAAGCCTGACACCAAGTTACAGCTCGTCACATCACCGGAGCCTGGCGACGAGCCCTGAGCCGGCGCCCAGAAGTCTGATTTCAAGCCCTGAACCGGCGCCCAGAAGCCTGGTTTCGAGTCCTGAACCAACGCGAAGAAGTCACGCTTCAAGTCCTGAACCAGCGCCTAGAAGCCTGGTTTCAAGCCCTGAACCGACGCGAAGAAGTCAGGCTTCAAGTTCCGAGCCGGCACCACGGAGCCTAGCATCGAGCTCTGAACCAAAGCGAAGAAGCTTGGTGTCAAGCCCTGAACCGGCGCCCAGAAGCCTGGTTTCAAGTCCTGAACAGGCACGAAGGAATGTGACTTCAAACTCTCAGCTGGCAACACGAAGCTTGGTTTCGAGCCCTGGACCGGAACCAAGAACCTTGGTCTCAAGTCCTGAGTCTGAGCGCAGAAGCCCAGCGCCCAGCCCTGAGCGCTCACCCTGTCGGCTCTCGTCCAGTCTGAGTTCGAGAGCCCGAGAGAAGTCTCCCAGTCCGGAGCCGCTCCTGAGGGGCCGGGCGGCCAGCGACGCCAGCTTCTCCCAGCAGTCTGAGGCCGGGGATGCAGACTATCCGTCCGAGTCGCTCTCAGACCGGCGCAGCGCCGCGGACAGAGCGGGGTCACAGTCGGAGGACGTTTTCGGGGAGTTTGAGGACAGCACGGAGAGCCAGGCGCCCCCACCAGGCATCAGCAATGCCGCTGTGGTCACGAGCCACCTGGCTGAGCGAGCTCAGCAGAATTTCTCCCAGGAGCATGATCGTGGCACAAGTTCCGAGTCGGAGAGCCGATCGGAGAAGCACCGTCGACGTCGGACTTCAGCCGAACGGAATGCAACATACGCGAAGCTGCAGGTAACTCAGTAAATCCGTCCTTATTCTAGATTGGGCAGCAAAACAATGTTTTTTCTTGTCACATTCCATTACATTTGTAACACTTGGATGGCGCCAGTAGGTAGGCATGCCTATATGTGGTGGTTATTTTTATTGTTCGTTTATTGCGTTTATTGTGTTCATTGTGTATAATTATTTCATTTTATTTCCCTAATGGCAAGGGCAATAAAACAACATTTAATGGCATGACGGGATTATGTTTCATTAATACGACATAATTGCTAACATATATTAATTTCTCGCTAACCCGTTTGCGACTACCAGACGGGCAACTTGTCTAAAACGTTTATCTACCGTACATTTCAGGCAACAAGTCTCGCCGCAGAAGCCCGTGTGAACGGCGAAAACGACCGCCCCGAAACTAATGAACCCGAGAAGAAAACGGCTAAGGAGAACAGAGCTCCCGAAAAACAGCAAACAAATAAAAGGTAAATTAACTTTTACAATTAATTGACTACTGTCAACCTACATACGTAACTAAATAACAACAATGAACAAATCTTGGAACAAACAGCCCTTTTACCATCATTTAAAGTTAAATCTTTTTCATTTTTAACCCGCGCCCAACTGGGGGGGGGGGGGCTATTTATAGCCCCCCTCCCGTTTTTCTACAATAACTTCCAAACCGCTTGACGGATCGACGCCAAACTTTAAGTAACTTCGGCTGCATCAATTTGACACCTTGTGTCAAAATTTAAACTTCGTAGCTATCATAGGTCGGTCGGAAATGACGTCAGAGTGACGTCATGTTCGTCCAATTTCGACGCAAAACATTGAACCACGGCAATCGCTCCCAAGAGCTCAGTTTTTAAGCTAGATCCAATTTCTTTGCATGAAAGGACTCAGAATTGACCGCGCTATCAAACTGCTATTTCGGATTTTCAAAATTTTGAAAATTTTGAAAATTTTCATAATAATATTCAAAATTTATATTTTTATATATTTTTCCAAAATTTTTTGACTTTTAGAAAAAACCGGAATACATGTGACAGAATGCATGATTATGACTAACTCTAGCAAGTTTTAGCTAAATATCTTCAAAAATGGCCAAGTTATACGCATTATTGCAAAAAATTCCCAATTATTAATTTTTCAAATCAATTTTTCAGTACGTATTTGACATCGTACACCAATATAAATGGCACCATCGTGCTCCTGAGCTCAAACTGCATCCAATAGACACCTTTTTTGTTGAAAAATTTTAACTTCAAAAAATGACCTTTTTTGACCTGAAAGTGACCTGACCTAAGCTAAATTCGACTCAAAATGACCTCGAATGTCACAGACGACATCAAATTCGAAATATATGGCCTAAATGGACCATAAAACATGTGTCACGTGACCGACGCATGATATAATATTTCCGTGACCTGTGATGACCTGACCCTGACCTGAAAATCAAAGTACAAGTTTGGTACCCTCAAGGTATCTAGAGCATCTGTTCACGAGTGTGGAAACCAAAAATGAGCCTGATCTGACTTGTAAGACGGCGGCCAGAGCCCAAAATGTGAACAAGCCAAAATGCTAATAATTTTTACTTTGACCTGACCTGTGACGTCATCGGTGACCTCGAGGTCAATGAAATTAGGTTTCGCTCGACAGTTTTTCCGGGGCTATCAGACGCCGTTTGAATTTTGACGATCGGTCCAGTAGTTTCGGAGTTAGGAGGGGGGCTATGAATAGCCCCCCCCCCCCCCCAGTAGGGCGTGTTATACACAGACCCCAGTGGGGAGCGGGTTAAATGCGTCGCAGACAAATAACGTTACGGATAAGATATTTGGTATGTTAATTGTTCTGCCAGATGCGCACATTTAGCAGCAAGCGTCTGCATTTATTTAGACTGCAACGCGTAACATTTCTCCAGCTTCGAGCGCCAAATAGGTATTGTTACCGTTCTCGAGCTGACGACTTAAATCCTCTTTTTCCAGGGTGGTTACGAAGAATCGGTGGACCCCGCCGAAGGTGCAGCTGGGTTCGTGGACCGGATACAGCCCCGGACACCGGATCCAGTTAATGGAGGATGAGGACTACGTGGTGTGTGCCGCCCCAGGGAGTCGGCGCCGCCGCTCCGACTCCCTCCCAGAGGACGAGCCGGGCCGGGTCACCGCCGCCAGCGGGGTCACTTCCCGGCCCACCGAGCGGAGCGCTCTCCGCTCAGCGGGGAGATCCTGGAGCAGAGGATCGGAGCAGGGCTCCTCCCGCTCCAGAGAGCGAGCTGAGGACCAGTCAGACGACCAGGACGGGGCTCAGCGGCCGTCGGAGAGGAACTACATGACCTCCGCCCGGCGCGTGTCCTCCCGCTCCGTCGAGAGGAGCTCGTCTCGCTCTGTCGAGAGGACCTCGTCTCGCTCTGTCGAGAGGACCTCGTCTCGGTCTACCGAACGCTACAACCGATGGTCGATGGAGAGCTCTCCCGATCGAGAGACGGGGATCGGCTATGTTCGCTCGGCTGAGAGAGCCACCGCCAGGTCGGCGGCTAGGAGACTGCTCCAGAGGGCAGAGCGATCCTCCGTCAGCCCTGAGGGAAGAGCCCCTCGTTATCGGTTCGGAAACGTCCGCGGTTCTCCGGAGAGGGAGTTTGCTCGCCGTGCTAGGAGCAGCATCTCTCCGCCGCCGACTGACCTCACGCAGAACGGTGACCTCGCGGCGTCACGGCCGCGGCGCCTGTCCGGTGGTGCTCGCGATCCACACGTCACGGGTGGCGCGGAACCGCCGCGAGCGGTGACGGGTCGGCGCGGCTCCGGTGCCGAGGCGACGGAGACGGTCGGCACGGGCGGTGCCTGGCGGCCGGCCGGGGTGACCCAGGCCCCCTCGGCCGCCGCTCCGGGCCGCTACCCGGGCCTCTTCAAACGGACGGCCTTCTCCGTACCCGTCGGCTGGAGAACCGCCCAGCCGGTCGTCAAAGGTCAGTGCGATCGGAAACGAGCTCTTACAAATTACAAATTAGTACCTTTATTACCCTTATTATGCTGTAAGGATTGGCAATCACACCATGGCATTGACAGACAAAACCTTGCATTCACCTTGCGACCAATGCCTAATGATGTTTTTTTTTTTTAATGCAGGTTTCCGCTCCATTCCACCAAGTCAGACGGCCGCCGACTCCGGCTCAGAGGCGGAGGCCGACCGCAGTCGGCGCGGCAGCGGCTGCTGACGGACGACTGCCCTTCAAACGCTGACGCATCGCTACTGGGGTGCTGACCCGAGTGCTGACCGGGGGTGACTGGTGACCTGATGGCTGAGGGCGGTGTCCTGCTGAGGTCAAACCGGTCACCCAGGTCGCTCTCTAAAAATGCTTACTGTCGCTTTACCGACTCGGCAACAAGGGAGGTAATGCAAACTTATAAGTATGTCAAATAGATATTGTTTGTTGATTTTATGTTTAATTGTTATTGTTATAGCTGTAGCTCTTGGCTTTAGGCACGGTTAGTGGCAGTGTGAAGTGATAAGTGATTCTAGCAAATTTGCGAATCACTTTTGTTATGCATGCAGAGTTGCCGTGCACCTGATATTAAAATTTAAAATGACCAGGCATGAATAGCATAGGTAGGTAGGTATTGAGTTTAGGTATGTGCAGTGCAGCCTGCTCGAAATGCTATTACTGAGAGATAGGGAAGACCTACCGTCTATCGAATGTGGACCTGCTATTCAATTATGCCATGGAATAAGTAAATGTTGTAACATATGTCCGAGCGACTGTTTCTGGGCGCTCAGCCGCATGCCATTGTTACAAAACAGACGAATTAAAACCAAAATTGAAATGAAAGGCAGGATAATTGCTACTAACATAGCAATTGTTTTAACTGATAGCACGCCTAATTTCCAGATTAGTGACAGAGCCTTGGACAGAGCGATATTTTGTTGAGTGATAGGCATCCCTGTACCCTGTCTATCATTCTGGCCGGCTAACGTCATGATGAAGAAATAAAAAATCTCAAATATTTGTCTGTGAGATGTGAAAATAAAAGAATGCCTTGGAAGTATGGGCAAAGTGATGTCATCTTTTTGATCGTCTGAATAAATATTTGACATACAATCCAAATCCATGGCTATGGAAATAATAGACGCGTTTACATAGGGTTTGTTGCAAGCTTATATCTCCGTCCGTGATGTTGCAAAAGATGCCAATGGTGCTGAACAATTTACAAAATGATCCCCTCTAAATATTTGAAGACCACTGCATCGAAATTATCGCCAAATTAACGAGCTAGAGCCTCGTCAAATATGCAATGTAAACCGGGTTAATACCTTATCCCGATTTATCCATTATAGCTGCAGGTTAGTGAAGCTGCTCATTGGATGACAGCATTTTAGCTGCTTGTGTAATGATAGCCATTAACGGCGCATCAGTTTCGAAACTGAAAAAAATATTTATTTGCTTTGTAATTCACTGTGCATTAGACAAAGCATTAGAGATAGTGGGCGGGTGAAGTTAGGAGTGTTATTGTATGTTTTTTCGTCGCCCAGCCATTTAATCTCGTATTAAGTAATATCGATATTTTATTATTATTCGGGTAGTCTCGAGGGATGGGAACTGGGCGGGAATACAAACAGGAAACACTAACACCAAACGGTAAAGGTTTCAAGTTAGTTGTAAATTTCACTCCATTTCAATTTCTAATTTGTTGGTGAAGTGAGCATCAGGATGTCAATGTTTATTTTCACAATCGCATTTTAGTTGAGTTATCTTATTGATTTTGTTTTAATAACCCCAACTGCCCAATTTCCTCAAGGTACTTAATGACGCAAAATAAAATTTGTTTTCTCATAAAGCATTTTATTCGGATCAGTCGGGGAAACTATGGTAAAATCTGCTATTTTTAGCAGTCTGCTATTTTTAGCAGAAATCTGCTAAAAATGGGTACGCATGTGACGTCATCGTACCCAAATATAGCAGATTTGGGTACGGCCCCATACAAAAGCAGATCTGCACCCTAATTGAAGCAAATGTGCATCAAATGCCTGGCAGATTCATGATGAGAATAGTGCTGAGAGTGTTCTCTGCTATTTTTGTTCAGATCCGACTATTTTGAAATTCATTATTTAAAAATAGTCGGATCTGAACAAAAATATCAGAGGACATTCTCAGCACTATTCTAATCATGAATCTGCCAGGCATTTGATGCGCATTTGCTTCAATTAGGGTGCAGATCTGCTTTTGTCGGGGGCCGTACCCAAATCTGCTATATTTGGGTACGATGACGTCACATGCGTACCCATTTTTAGCAGATTTCTGCTAAAAATAGCAGACTGCTAAAAATAGCAGATTTTACCATAGTTTCCCCGACTGGGATATGCTGCCAGAAAACTACATGGTTGATGTATATATTAGCGTTTGGCATTGAATTGTGCAATATGATATTTGACTGGAATAACTTCTTATTACATCATGGACGATCTTACTTGCTTTGGTAATCATCCACCAGAACCCTTCCAATTCCAAAGTTCACAAATTGCAGCATGCATTCTGTGGTAAAATAACATTTTTGATTGTTGATAGTTGACAAGTTTTTGGAGAAGCATTATTTTTGTAAAATTTGTGAGAAAATTAGTAAGCTGACACAAGAGTGACATTTTAGAAGCATCATATACATGCTACATGCACACACTCATGTTAACAGCACTAACTAGGGTCACTCCATGAGGGTGATATAGCAGCTTTGCAGCTCAGTTCTGTACCATAGGTACAACTATTTACCAGTAAAACGCCTTTTGGGCGAAGAACGGGCGAGCGAGATAGTGAGCCCTGCACGTGCGGAAGGGCGAGAGGGTACTTCCAACGGGCTTGCTCAAAGCACCCTTCTAACCGGTCGCTAGCGGTGTACCAAATTTGAACGCAATCGGCCCAGCCGTTCCTGAGATCTGGAAGCGGCATTCTGCACGTGCGCACGTGCAAACGGGGTCTAAACTGACTTTTGCACGGCAGCCTACTAACCGGTCTCCAACCGTGTACCAAATTTGAGCGCAATCGGCCCAGCCGTTCTCGAGATCTGGAAGCGCCCCCTGCACGTGCGCACGTGCAGTAGCACCTTAACCGCAACACATGGGAATGCATTGCCTGGTGGGTGCCTACCTGTATGCCAAGTTTCAGCAAAATCGCCCCAGTAATTACCGAGTTATCAAAATGGGAACAAATTTGACACCTCTTATTGTTGTATTTTGCACGTGCACTGGGGGTGACCCACATGCATCGAGATTATCCTATTTTTGGTAGAAAGGATGCTGCTACCCTATAAAAATTACCGCAAGTCAATCGCCTAAGCGGCTGCTGAGATATGAGCCTCTCAAAATCACTACTTTTGCAAAACAGCTTGAACACCCTTGACTTTTCACGTGGCACGTGCCACGACGGTCACTGAGATGTATCAAAAGTAGTCAATTACGGGGTAGAAGGGATGGGGCTACCCAGCAAAAAAGACCGCAGACCAATCGGTCCAGCGGTTGCTGAGATATAAGCCTCTCAAAAGCGTTACAGGCCGGGCCGGGCCGGGCCGGGCCGCTCATACTGAGATTTTTCCCTTATATTGAAAAGACTCGCTTCGCTCGCTGCGCTCGCTCGCTCGTAATCAGAATATGCACATGCCCAGTGGTTTCACACTGAACTGGACTCTGGAGGATATCCACCATCCATCTGATCCATCCACTCCCAATCTGCATCTGACACGCTTCACTGATGATAATTATCCGAACCCCAAGGTGCCATACCTACACTGTCTTTTAAGTCAAGATATTTTCCAACCAATTTGACAAATTTTCATTGAGCAGACATCTTATCTTGTCCTTGCCTTTTTCAGGGAAACACACTGTCTGGCCATCATGTTTCTGCATCCAAGATCGTTTCCCGACGAGGACCCGTCGGATGAAGAGCGGCTGGGTCGCGGCGCCGACGGCCGCTCTCGGGGCAGTAGCGGTAGCTCGACCGACAGCAGCTTGGAGCGGAACGAGGTCAGCTGCCGGGAGCTCCAGAAACCGGGTGGGGACACTCACGACACTTTACTATTAGGGTTAGAAATACCGCGGTTTTCGATGCCTAATGAGATCGTGTAGCTCTGATGCTCACTAATTGCACATGAAGGCATCGTTTTTTATATGTTAAACCGCGAGTAGGTAGAACAAATCTTTTAAACGTCGAGCCGATAGGCGAAAGGTTTAAAAGATTTTTCTTCCTACGAGCGGTTTAATAATAGTATCCAGTACCGCAGATATTTTTCAGGTGGTTTAACCTTCCAGGCGGTGGGGGGGGGGCATTTTTTGCCCCCCCCTTTAGTTTTTTCGATTTATCTCGAGAACCGCAGCGCCGATCGTCACCAAACTTTCAGTACCCTCCCGGGAGTAGCTAGCGCACATGGTGACCAAAAATTGTTCCAAAGGCTATGATAGGTTGGCCGCTAATGACGTCAGAGTGACGTCATTTTTGCCATTTTCGACCCCAAAAAAAGGTTTCGCGGGAAGAGCTGTCAGGCCTACAGCTTTAGAGATACAGAAAAATGATTCAGACAAAAAAAGGTGTGAAATCAAGAGGGCTACAAAACTGCTATTTCGGTTTTTCGATTTTTTTTTTAATAGTTCTCAGCAAGTATATTGAAAGTTGTAAGTATGTAAGCTGTATGTAAGTTGTAAGGTGTAGTCATGTAGTGACATTTGGCGGCTCTGTCTTGTAACGGTCTGGTATTATGTCGTATCACATTGTTGTGTCACAGCAAATGGTTACAATTATTGTTAATAATTTTTGCTATATAGGGATGACCTGAGGGTATGTGAGGATTTGTCTGGATGGAAGCGGGTCAAAATGAAAAATGTGTGTAGATTTAAGCGAGTGCGCTTTATTTACTTGTGTTTTGAAAATGTGATTTCGAAAATGTTTATATTACTTGTATGCCGCTGACGAAGTGACAATAATACAGTCACGAAACTGTCCGGAAAAGCCGAGTACTTTGATTTTTTTTTTTATTTTGACCCCCAAAAACCAAAAAAATAGATTTTTTGAAAATAATAGCCGAAAAATCCAAAAAGTTTTTTGAATTTCGAAAAAACCGGAATATATGTGATAGTCCTTACCGCCTTCTATCTACATACCAAATTTGAGATCAATACCTCTTTTTTTGGCCAAGTTATAGCGAAAAAACTGTTCAAAATTGATGACGTCAAATTTTCAAACTCAATTTTTAGCAATTCTAGACCTCGTAGCGCAAAACGAAGACCACCATTAGACTCCCCGTGACGAGCTGCATCGAATCGATACCCATTTTATGCAAAAATATCAACTTTGAAATTTGACCTTTTTTGACCTGACCTTGACCTGACCTCCACCAGAAAGTGACCTAAACCGTACCTGATGGTCTTATAACCAATACCATTGAGTTGGAAATGAAAAACTGGCCATAAAACATGCATCGCACAACCTTAGTAAAGTTGGGTTCATGTGGTGACCCTTGGTGACCTTTGGTGACCTGACCTCTGACCTGGCCTGGTATGACCAGTGACCTCTAATAGCAACATATGTACTAGACAACTGACGCCTTATCGCTGATTTTCGACAAAATGCGTTTTACTCGGTGTTATAGCACTTTCCCTAGAAGCCCCGTGAACGGTGAAACATTTTATCTTTGACCTGACCTGTGACGTCATCGGTGACCCCGAGGTCAATGAAATTTGGTTTTCCTCGACAAATTTGACAGGGCTATCGAACGCCGTTTGAATTTTCCGGATCCGTCCAGTAGTTTCGGAGATACGAGGGGGGGGGGCAAAAAATGCCCCCCCCCCACCGCGCGGAAGGTGGCTGGTAGGCCCATCGCCTGCCGGGTTAAGGTAAAAATATTTTATATAAAAATACGACATATTTCAGACTAGACGAAATGTCTACTAAACGTTTAACAGTTTGTTAATCGTCTAGACGTTTAAGAAATCAATTAAATTACATCTGATAATTTTCTCTCTTTGCACGTGAAGCAATAGTAAACAGTAAACACTGTCTACGTCTACGGTGCGGGATAAAACACGTTTATCGTGTCATGTCCTGGTAGTTAATGATGTTAGGTCCCGAAATTTTTGGAATA